TCTCTGTTTCCTTCAAATCCTGAGTCTGCCGAGAGCCAAGGCTCCTCACAATGAGACCCCTGGAGGAAGTGGACAGATCATCACCTTAAAACCAGTGTCTGTCATCACAGGACGGAGGCTTTGCACATGGGATCTGCAGAGCACTTGATCTGATGAGGAAAAGGAGGGTGAGAGAGGAGCGACTCATAAAGGTGGAGATGATGACGAGCTCCGTCTCCAGGTCTCGTGATGAGACAGGCAGTCAGTGATGGGGCCAAAGGAAGAGTTTTTCAGATGTCCCCTTGTGTTTCATAAAAGAGGTAAGACTATCCACTGAACATCATCAGCAAGGATGTTTGGATCCTTTGAAACATACCGAAATGTTAATGTTGTCACTTTTTCAGTTATCTCCCCCTCCCTCTGCCCCCTCCTCCTGTGACTCAGGGTCGCAGCCCTGGGGGGAAACGGCTGCCATGCTTGTTGCTGACAGTAGACAAGGCTCGCATCTCATCCCACAAAATAGAGAAACATAAAGTTCGTTTTTGCATCAAAATCTAGGCCCCAATACCTTTTTTTTTTTTTTTACATGCCCATGTCACTTAGAATTCCTGTTGGGAGCCATTATTCCTGGTATAATTGATATTTGATCTGCTAGACTGTCAACTTACTGAATAGAGATATTGAGTCTCTCTGTCAATTGCTGTGTGCCTACTACTGTCCATGACGTCTGGTCCGTAACTGTTACCAAGAAAAGAAGGAGTAGACCCGGAGCGCTACAGCAAACTGGCCGGTCTCTAATAGGTAGCTCTGATGCTCTTCATTGAACACAAATGATTAACAGAACTTCAACATCCGACAACATAGCTCTATGACCGTGAGGAAGCATAGTGAAACAAGACCACTCTTGCATCAACAAAAACAAGAGCATTGTCGAGACCACAAAAATAACCAACATCTCCTTTTCTCTGTGAGTGACTGCTATCTCCTCACTAATCACAGAATGAGCCCTACTTCATCACTCCTGGTTTCTGGTTAAAAATTAAAATACCAAGTTATAGAAACACCCTTGCTTCCTTACAGCATCCAATCTAGAGCAAAACTTCACTCCTTTGAACCTTTGCCCCAAATTACCTAACACATGCTCAAACCCTATAACAAACACTTCTTTTTTATTATTATTATTTGTTCTAATTAGTTATACATGACAGCAGAATGCATTTCGGTTCATTGAACACAAATGGAGCAAATTAAAAAAAAAATAGAGGTACTACCCTGCATTCTATCAGACCACAATGGAATGAATCTAGAAATCAATGATACAATTAAAAACAGAAGCTACTCCAACACCTGGAGACTAAATAAAATGCTATTTAATGACACATGGATAACAGAAGACATCAGGGAGGAGATAAAAAGAAAAAGTTCTTGGAGGTGAACAAGGACTCCAATACAACTTACCAAAAGCTGTGGGACACTAGGAAGGCAATACTACCAGGAAAGTTTCATTGCATTGAGCTCATTCATTAAAAGAAGAAAAAGTCAACAAAAAATGACCTCACACTACATCTCAAAGCCCTAGTAAAAGGAGAACAAATCAACACCAATAGTAATAGAAGACAGGAAGTCATTAAAATCAGTGCTGAAATCAATGAAATTTAAACAAAAGGAACAACTGAAAAAAATTGACAAAATAAAAAGCTGGTTCTTTGAAAAAATAAATAAAATTGATAAAGCCTTAGCCACCCTAATGAAAAGAAGGAGAGAGAAAACTCAAGTTACTAAAATTTGAGATGAAAAAGAAATATCATGACAGATACTTTTGAAATACAGAAGATAATTTAAAACTATTTTGAAAATGTACTCTCTAATAAAATAGAAAATCTAGATGACACCAATAATTTTCTGGAGAAATACGACTTGCCCAAACTGAATCTGGAGGACATATACAATTTAACAGATCAATTCTGAGCAATGAAATAGAAGATGCCCTCAAAGGTCTACCAACCAAGAAAAGCTCAGGACCAGATGGATCTTCAGCCAAGTTCTACAAGAATGTCAAAGAAGAATTAATATCAATACTCCTCGAATTATTTCATAAAATAGAAAAGAAGGGAACCCTTCCAGACTCATTCTATGAGGCTCGTATCACCCTGATACCTAAGGCAGACAAAGACCCATCAAGGAAAGAAAACTTCAGACCATATCCCTGATGAACATAGGTGCAAAAATTCTCAATAAAATTCTGACAAGCACTTCCTAATGTTCCCAGATAGGGTAGTGTCTTCATCACTGCAACAAGCCAAACAACATGATTTTGTTCTACTACAGGGGTTTTCCTGGTGCTCTTTGGATTTAGGAACATTGGTGATGCTCAATAGAAGCTTACTAAGTGAAGGAATATGGGGTGAATGACTTGAAGGAGAAGGAACTTCACAGGGGAGGAATACTGGTGGTGGCACTCAGAAATGGGCTGTACTCTGAGCAAACACTGGGTTTGTGAGGAGAGACAGGAAGATGGTGCCTTCAACCGGAGTCACAGTCCAGGAACCAGGATGGACACTTTAGAAGGCCCAGAGCTCCCCACCCAGTAGCATGCCTTCATTAGACTGGCCCTCTGCCCATCTGACATTCTCTTGGCCTCTATCACCAGGAAAACTGGGGAAAGAATGACAGTTTTTAAACACTGTATCCTTCATCTTCACCACCCTGTCTGGTATGAAAAAGTATCCAATTTGCCTTTCCGTAGCAGTGAGTAATTCCTTCCACTGCACTAACAATGTCTGAAACAACAGGAGACGAATGGATGCTTCAGCATAGTTGTGGATTTAAGCTTTAAAAACATTCCCTGAGCAAGAGATTCCTCGAGTCACAGGATTCCTGGAGCCAGAAGAATATCAGCTCTAACCTTTCCCCTTCCTCCATCCCCAGCCACATTCCTGAAGACCAAGTGCCATTCATTCTCCTTGGACCTCTCAAAATAAATTATTGAATATTCATGCTTTAAAGTGGGTATATTGGAAAGTTTAAACCTTATAAGGAATGTTGTGTTGAAAACCATGAACTATAAAGCACAGATAACAATCACATTTACCATACATTTATCAAAAAAATTTTTTCTTAAAAATCATCATTTAATTTAATTGTAAATAGAGTTTCATTATAATTCTGACGGTAATTTTCTGAAAACAAATAGCAAAATACAGTTATTATGATAGTAAACAAGGTCAATGAGAAATTTATCTCTAATGCTAAAATAAGGAAAACAGGATCCAGATTTTTTTTAAAAAAAATTATCCTAATTGTGACTCACAAGATATCAATCACTACCATCATCAATTTCATCATTAGCAGCATATTGAAAAAAAAAAACTTCTACCTTTCCTATCCTCTACAACAGTTACTAATATGGCATTATGTAAAAATGTGGATGTGTAACCGATGTGATTCTGCAATCTGTATTTGGGGTAAAAATGGGAGTTCATAACCCACTTGAATCTAATGTATGAAATATGATATGTCAAGAGCTTTGTAATGTTTTGAACAACCAATTAAAAAAAAAGAAAAAAAATCTTTAAGACTCCAATCAGTTATCTTCAATATTCTATGCTCATGGATCATTTTCTCTTCTTCTTTTGTGTGTGTGGTTGGGGGGGAGTTACTGAGGATCAAACCCAGGGCCTTGCACGTACTAGGAGAGCAAACTACCACTGAGCTATATCCACAATACTTGTTTTATTTTCTTATACTCAATATCATTCAACTCTCAGAAAGTTAAATATGGGCAAACTGACTTTTTTCACCTTAATTATGAGTCTCATGATCTCAATGCCGGTAGGCCCTTCCACGGGTTCTTCCCATCACCCATATAATACTACCCTTAGTTCTCTTAGGAGCCCCACTTGTCTCAGGGGCTGAGATTCCATTCCCTATCCATTACCTAATACATCTCATTCCCAGGGGCTAATGGTCTCAAATCACCCAACTTCCCCAAGAATCAGACGCCAATTGCATGTGAACAAATCGTTCTCTCTTGGGAATACACAGAGCAACAGGGACATTTGTATTGCAGGAAGAATCACATGATATCAGACAAATAGGTGTAATCTCTGTCAGTCCAGTTAAACTTGAAATGCTCTTGGTCAGGAAATGTGTCATATACATCTCCATTCTCACTGTCCAGCAAAAAAATACAAGGCACAGAAGCCAAGCTAAAGAATACGAGCTGAATGAATGAAAGAAGGAGTAATGGCGGGGCCTCAACACGCATGAAAAGCGCTCACCCAGATTTCCTCGTTCCCTCTTGTCAAGGTCCTGGAAGGAAGGAAGGAAGACGGTGGACCTGGATGGGAGTGGTTGGTCCCCGGGTTGTGAAAGCAGCAGCGTGCTCAGGCTGTGCATCACCACCCTGCACTGGATTAAAGGGCTGCTGCCCTGGGCTCCCCATCCACAGCTGCTCCAGGCTCAGCCTCCTCCTGCTCCTGCTCTGCTGCATCTGGTGAGTGTCCAGCAGGAGGCCACCCTCATCCAGGAGTAGGGGGGGCGGGGAAGCACAGCCTCCAGTTCAGAGGAGGGAAGCGGAGGTGGAGGAACAGGGGTGGGCCTTGGAGGGCCTCTGGGGACAGGTCAGGGGTCAGAGAGCACAGAACCTCTGAGGGAAGTTAGAGTCCTGGCTCTCAGGTCCTCCCCGCTCTGGTCCTTCTTGAGAGACCACATGTGCCCACAGGGACTCTCTGGAGTCACCAGCCAATGAATGCATGTGCTGGTGTTTCTGTGAGGACAGAGGGGGTGGGACTCGGGGCGTCCCAGCATTCTCCTCTGGAAGCAGGGCAAGGGGAAGGACGGGAGGTCCTCCAGGTCAGAGGATGGAGATGGCTCTCCATTTTCCTTCCTGAAGCCACAGCCCAGGAGGCAGAGGGCCCGAAGAGCCAGGGCCTTACACAGCCGGTCCCAGGGGAGGAGTGGCCCAGAGCTTTACACTGACCTTGTCTTTGGTCCATGCAGGCTCGCTGACTCCCGTGGAGATGTCCTTCCAGCAGAACCAGCAGCAGTGTCAGCCCCCTCCCAAGTGCCCCTCACCCAAGTGCCCCTCACCCAAGTGCCCCCCTAAGAGCCCAGCACAGTGTCTGCCTGCGGCCTCTGGCTGTGCTTTGAGGTCCGGGGGCTGCACTGGCCCCAGCTCTGAGGGCGGCTGCTTCCTGAGCCACCACAGGCACCACAGGTCCCACCGATGCCGTCGCCAGAGCTCCGACTCCTGTGATGGTGGCAGCGGTCAGCAGTCTGGGGGCCCTGGCTGTGGCCACAGCTCTGGAGGCTGTTGCTGACCTGGGCAGTTGCAGTTGAGAAAAGAAAATTTAAGAAAAACAGTGTTCAAGGACTGTCCCCACCTGCTGTGCTGCAATACTCCAATCTCCTCTAGCCTTGAGCTCTGGGCCTTCCCTAGTGACTCTCAGGTCTCTTCTCCAGTTCCTGACAGGTTGCCCACCTGGTATCTTCCAGGGCTGGCCACATCGGCCTGATCAGTTTTCACTCCCTACGCCTGACCCTGTGAAAAAATAAAGATTTGTCTTCTCAGCATCTCTGGGTTCTCTCTGACTCTGATGTGGCCTCTGCTCTGACCCTCCAGCCGGCACAGCCTTACATGGGGATCAGGCCTTGTCTCTAGAGCAGAACAGCAGCAACTCTAACTCCTCCGAAGGCACAGGAAGATAAGGGACACGGGTCTGGTCCCCACCAAAGAAAGACCTGGTTTCCCCGTAGTATGTATGGTATGGGAAGTGCTTTAAGTGGTGCCCAGACCCTGCTGGAAGGTGACTGCCATCGTCTGAATATGACAAGGCGACCTGGAATCCCCCGCTAAGAGGCAGGGAATGGGAAGGCAAAGGATCTACAAACAGAAAAGTTGCTGAGACACCAGGAGAGGAAGAAAGACTGTTAAAGTTAAAACTGGAGAGGTCTGGCAGAAGGGCAGAAATGTGGCTGAGTTCTCTAAATAGGAGTCTTGGGCCAGAAAACAGGAAAGAAGAAACAAGTCAAAGTGAGAAGCTGTGCTGCTTTCGTAAATGAATATGTTCTTTTTTAAATTCTGATTTGTTATATATGACAATGCAACGGATTACAATTCATATTACACATATAGAGCACAGTTTTTCATTTCTCTGGTTGTATACAAAGTCTATTCACAACATTCATGTCTTCATACATGTACTTTGGATAATGATGTCCATCTCATTCCACCATCATTTATAAACCTCTGCTCCCTCCCTTCCCCTCCCACCCCTCTGCCCTATCTAGAGTTCGCGGATTCCTCCCATGCTCCCTCTCCCTGTCCCATTATGAAACAGCTTCATGCTGGTTGTTTTAATGAATCATAATAATAGCCAAAAAGAAAAAATCAATTTTGATTCTAAGATTATAGTAAGTTTTAGAATTAATTTTATGGTGGCCTCTGCAAGCTTGTCATAAAATAAAGGTTAGTCTTTCCTTCATAATTTATTAGAAAGTGAAAAGTTCTTTAATCAATCTTCCCAGCAACCCTTTGAGGTGGGCATTTTTATTAGCTCATGTGACAGATATGGAGACATAATTGTATCGATTGTCTGGCTACAAAGATGATCAACACAACTATCAGGCTTTTTGATTTTTTTCAAATCAAGTGAAAGAATTCTTTTTAAATTATCTTTAGAGAGAGGTGGGAGGGAAAGGGAGAGAGAAAGGAAATTGCATGGAAATGGAAGGAGACCCTCAGGGTTATACAAAAGTACATACAAGAGGTAGTGAGGGAAAAGGGAAAAATAATACAAGGGGGACAAATGAATGACAGTAGAGGGGGTAGAGAGAGAAGAGGGGAGGGGAGGGGAGGGGGGATAGTAGAGGATAGGAAAGGCAGCAGAACACAACAGACACTAGTATGGCAATATGTAAATCAATGGATGTGTAACTGATGTGATTCTGCAATCTGTATACGGGGTAAAAATGGGAGTTCATAACCCACTTGAATCAAAGTGTGAAATATGATATATCAAGAACTATGCAATGTTTTGAACAACCAACAATAAAAAATTAAAAAAAAATAAATTATCTTTAGTTTATAATTTTAATATGTAACATATACAATTTAGCTTATAATTAGCTCAATGTGCTTAGCATTGCTTTTTGAACTCTAGGCCACCAAGATGCCAGTGCACATAAGTCACAGCTTCAGTAAGTCCCCACGGGGTGGGAAGGTCCTGTGGCAGACCTTAGGCAACTGTGCAGCAATCAACTGACCACCTTCATCCAGGACTGAAACCATCGCTTTGCCTGTGAACCCACAGTGACCCTTTCCACTGAACGAGACTGAAATGATCATAAAGCAAAAATAATCCAGGCCTAACCCAGGGTGTTACTTAAAACAAAACTAAAAAATCAAAAAGACACCATAGAACAGGAGTTCTCCTAAGCGTATACCCCGAAGAATTGAAAGCAGGTGCTCAAACAGATATTTGTACACGTCGGTCCATAACAGCACTATTCACACCTCCAAAAAGGGGGAAGCAAACCAAGTGTCCAGCGAAAGATGAATAGAAAGAAAATGGTGTGTGTATTCTATATGTCACACAATGGCGTTATTCAGCCTTAAAAAAAAAAAAAAAAGAATGAAAGTCTGCTACATGCTACAGCATAAGAGAGCCTTAAAAACAAACATTAAGTGAAATAAGCCAAATGAAAAAGGACAAATATCCTGTGAGTCCACTAATAAAAGGTACCAAAAGCTGTCGAGTTCAAAGAGACAGGAAGCGGAGTAGAAGTGTCCAGGGGCTGGGAAAATAGGGATTGGGGATTTACTGTTTACTGAGGGCAGAATTTCTGTTTGAGATGATGGAAGTTTCTGGATCTGAACACTGGTGGTGTCTGCACATTGTGAATGTGCCCAATGCCACTGGGTTACACACCAAAAGCAAATGGATAAAATGGTAAATTTTAAGTTCTATACATTTCATCACAATTTAAAAAAAAAAAGAGTTTTTAAAATATTAGATCCTGAACTAAAGTAAATCTAGTGCAGTGCCACATGAGTTCACAGAGTTTAAAGTTTTTTTAAGTCCCTTGAGAGTTGGTGAACTTCCCAAACTTCAGTCAGTTTCTCCTCCAGCAATCATGGACACCAAGTTCCTTAGACTTTAGGAACAAAAATGTACCAAACAGTCCATGAAACAGGACAGGGTTGATGTCAGATGACTCTGAAATGTCATCTGGCTCAGACAGGATCACTCGAGGACATGGCTACCGCTGTGGAATACAGCAGGCCTTGGGTTCACAGCCACAGGCAGGTTCTTTATTACCCCCAAACTATGAGGGATTCTTAAGCAGTACTTATCCAAAAAAACATAAGGATTTTGAGTTATAATTAAAACACCCCACATACATACACATACATGCAATGGTATCCCAGGGTATAAAAACCTGGCCTCAGATAAGATGTATTTCTGTTTCTATGAGAGTTTTCGAGAACTAACAGGGAAATTATTTGTGCATTTATGGCCAAGAAAAAATTACTGATTTCTAGGAGACCATTTTATCGCCTTAGAACACTTATTGGGATTCATAAACCCTATTTGTGATTGCATGTGAGCAACCAGCAGTGTTCAGTCTTTTGGGTTCAAAGTGGAAGAATTGTAAGGAACCATCTACCAGGAGCTGTGGAATGAGTCACGGAGACTCTGAAGTGCCTCAAGATGGCACTCAGAAAAAGCCCCCAGAATTCCAGGTGTTGGGACATCTCATGAAAAGACAAAAGAAGGCAGGATCTAGTATTAAAGTTCAGACCTAAAACACCTAGGAGATCACGGGAAGCCTCAAATAATGCATGCTCGGTCCACTTCTTTAAAACCTGAAGGAGGTCTTAGGGGTTGGGAGAAAGAGATTCCCCAAATACCACCCGATCCTGCTCAGGATTCTACAGTTCTCTAGGGAAGTAAGTATGTATTAAGTTATCCCATGTGCCACATGTCAGGCACCATGATAGGAAATAAAAATGTAGGAGAGAAGAAGATTTAGAGTCACCTCTCTCAGCAATCTGTGTTCTAATGAGTCTGTTAAAGACTATTCCTTAATCTGCTTCCAATGCAGACCACAGACGCCTTGTGATCAGCAGACGTGGACCCATGTAGGTCTGGTAAACTCGTGGACAACAGGACCCGGACATGGGGCAGGAGCAGAAGTGTGGAACCCACCTGTGTGCAGCAGCAGTTGGCCCAGCTGAGACACCCGGGAGCAATTCATGGGACCCTGAGGCAGCAGGGGACCCAGGAGGAAGAAGAGGGAAGACTCTAGGAAAGGGGAGAATGGGACGGAGTGGGGAGTCCGTATGAATTGGGAAAAGAATAGCGCACTGGCCTGAGCAGAACCTTAGCTTTGGATATGTCATATTTGGTGGTGACCACCAACGTACTTACATGTACTTCTTTTCACACCAAACATGACATCAGAGCCCAGAGAGGGACGACATTACTAACACCGATGGGGGATTAACTTGTCACCTCAACCCCTTCTCAGGCTCCCTTACTCATTCTCCAAACCTGCATAGAGAAAGTATGTTTCAACCCAAATATTGAAAGAACCCATTTAGAGTTTCTAAAAGGTAGAGGCCACTTCTATAGATTTTTATAAATATACTTGAAAAGTAATACCACTTAAGGTAGCACTAACCTTCACTCTCTCAAGAGCTAGCATTTTAATTTATATATGTCCTGTAGAAGAGCTTTGGGGTGGTTTTGGGGGACACTATATTTCAGGGAGAAATGCACCTCTAATACAATGAATTCATTCTGAGGCAATGAAATAGAGTGGGGAAATGTCGTCGCATATAAGTCCACTATCCACAGACCTGGGGCGTCTTGACTAGTTCACTGTAAGGGAGGGGTTTCAAAGGTGAAACACTAAAGGGTGTGAAGAAGAAGACGATGACGGTGGTGAAGTAAAGGTGGTGTCGTGGCACAGGAAACAAAACACTGCCAATCACGTTTTCTCCCTAAGTTTTGTCAAAAGCCAGCATCATCCCACTTCACCACGATCCCCTGCCTGAAGTCATTTGGTAGATGACAGAAGAGTCACACTACTGAATTCCTGCGGTGGAGCCATTCTCCCACCCCAAATCGACATGTTGGAGGTGGGGCGGTGACTCTTCTGGGAGCTAGAGCCAGGCCCCCCTCGGACCCTGTGGGCAATGCCCAAGGACTTGATGGAATCATCTGAAGGCAGCATGTGGCTGTAGAGTCCACAGTGGATGTCGATGCCATACTTCATGGTAGCATTGGAGACAGTTTCCAAGTCCAGGAAGCAA